TGTACTGTGTACTTATATTATTTATATCGAAACTTCCTTAACCCTCTCGAATGACATGTGACAACATAACATAACATCATAAAATACATAAACTTCAGTGATTTTACGTTGATGATTCATTAAAAACAAAAAATGATTTTGTAAACCATCATCTAGAATGTTAAATGATTTATTTGCCTTGGATGTGAGAGAACATACCATAAACGAAAACGACTATCATGTCCGGGGACGAATGAAGGGACTGATTTACAATGAGGAAATTTGTGATCGACGAAATGTTATTCGAATAAATTAATGTGGCAGCAGAAATAACGAAGGTGTAATATGAGGCTATAAGCGTAACCACTACAGAGATGCAATGAACATGTTTTCGTTTCGAGCATGAATTACAAAACTCATAAATAATTGTTATCTGCTGATAATATTGATATTTCATTTTGTTGATCAGTGATTTTTTTTCTGAGAAATCATAATTTGTTCCAATTAATCATCCTGTGCAACTTAAACATTGAAGTCTACGTATGTTATCATACATATTATCATTAACTAAGTAAGTATTGAAAAATATTCTACCTATTTTTTATCCACTTCATTTTATTCGCTTATAAAATCAAAGTTGGATGTTAGAGTAATTTGTTTTGTGAATTCTACTGATCCACAAACGTGTATAATCACATATAGATTCCATTACGTGTTTCATAACGATGAAAAACATATTTCTTGTACGGAAATAATATACATATTATACATACAGGGTTGCGCAAAAGTAAGGAAACAGGTGAATATCTCGGTAATCTTTCGTTAGATTTTTCTTCGAATTTAGGTACATGGTGATTTCAAAACGACGCGGAATTTAAATTGTTATCGCCAATGTTGCCACTTTTTCAGTCATTCCGGATCATCATTAACTTTGTTATTTCAAATAGAACACCCTGTATTTTATTAAATCTTCAGATTCTCTTCAAAAAGCTGATTTCAACGATCTATCGCACTTGGTGTTTAGCGGAAATCATCACAGAGATATAGGGAGTTCAAAATCGAATTTTGTCAACTCTAGAATTTTTTGTGTCGAAACTATTCATTATCGATCGAAACGGCTTCATGTTCCTAGCCCAACTTTTCATTCGATATCTACTGATATTTAATTGTAACAGATACAAGATGATCAGAAATCTGAATCTTGATCCAGTCTGTATTTGTTTTAATCAAATATCAGTAGATAGTGAATCGAAAGTTATGGTAGGGACCGTTTTGATAAATAGTTTCTACACAAAAAAATCCTAAAATTGGATAATCTCGATTTTGAACACCTTATATCTGTTATCATTGCCGCTAGACCTCAAGTGTGCCAGATCGATGAAATCAGTTTTTCAGAAAGGATCTGAGAATCCCATAAAATAGAGGGTGTTCCATTTAAAATAAGGAAATTGATAATAATTCCGAAATAACTGACGAAGTGGCAACATTGGCGATGGAATTTTCAATTCCGTTACGTTTTGGATTTACCCTGTACATTAATTCAAAATAGTTCGACAAACGGTTACCTGTTTCCATACTTTTGCCTAACCCTGTATACCCGTCTGGCAAAAATATTTCTTCCATACAGAAACGATTCATCGGCGTCGTTGCACCACCTATTTTGGCACGTGTGGCAAACAATAATCTTTGCGATTGCGCCGAAAAATTGACTCGCTCGAAGGAGTTGTTAACGAGATACGAATCAAATGGCAACATGCTGCATATGAATACGATTTCTCTATAGGAACATCATACAACCAAACGTGTATGAATAATACACTATAATATTATTATATTAAATACAGGGTATGTCACGACAAGCTTACATTTTCTTGTTATCGAGAATCACTCGCAAGAAATTTATGAAAATGTGTGTGCTCATATTTGTGATTACGCTTTCTTCGTATGATATTTCCGACAATGCATTATTGCCGCTGCTGGTACTTGAAAATAGCAACAACTTTGTTATTTCAAATAAAATACTCTGTATTTCATTGCATTTTTGGATTTTTCCTGAAGAGCTGATTTCATCAATGTTGCACACTTGGGGTCTAGCGGGAATGATTACAGAGATATACAGGGTGTTCAAAATCGAGATTTTTCAACTTTGGGATTTCTTGTGTCGAAACTATTCTGATTTTGATTTACTATCTACTAACATTTAATTGAAACAAATTCAGGGTGATCAGAATTCTGAATCTTGAACCACCATGAATTTGTTCTAATTAAATGTCAGTAGATATTGAATCGTAATTTGATATGGGAACATGTAGGACGTTCTGACCATTAATGAATAATTTGAAAAAAAATAATCCTAGTTGAAAAATATCGAGTTTGAACACCCTTCACCTCTGTAATTATTTTGGCTAGACCCCAAGTATTATGCAATGATGATGAAATCAGCTCTTCAAAAATGAAATGAAAAACAGGGAATTTCATTAGAAATATCAAAAGTTGTTGCTTCTTTCTAGTAGAAGCGGCAACACTGCATTGTCTAAAATATTTTCAACAAAAAGGGTTTGATCTCATATTATATAAGCATGCACATTTTCATAAATTCCTTGTGACCGATTATCGATATGAGGTTAATGTACGCTCGTCGTGACAAATAAAAACGGCAATATCTCGAAATGGGAAACACTTTGTATGATAGTATATACAGTGGAATAAATTCAATATCAACTTTCCAGATATACGTCGGTGTACTACCAAACACCCTGTATAATAAAATGAAAAAATAAAATCTGAAATTCTTATAGAGAAATATTAAAAAAATTATTTCCTTCCCCTTCATTATTTCATTCTGAAGGCCTGGACTTTCTTTCCCCATCTCTATCAGCTGCTTGCGCCAAGCAAGAACTGACATGCTTCAGAATTTCGTTTTCGCAGGCAGTTGGAATAACTACTCTTGTAGCGTCTGAAAATGTCGTATTTACTATAAGCTGAGTGATTTAACTCATTTTTTGTGAAAATTGTAGTGAAGGGCAATACATTTCTATTATTTTATATAGGTATTATGTTTGGTTGGCCGGTTCCCGTTTTACCCTATACATATTCAAGAATGAAAAATTCTGAAATAATGCCCTCTACGAATTAGTTTTGTCACGTATGTCTAAAGGCTCAAACCCCTGTGAAACTTTGGTATTTTGATCGAACAAAATGATTTTCGTTTGTTTTTGAAATAAGTAGTTACAAATGAATGAGTTTAATTTTGGACTGTTATTGATTCCAAAAAAAAATTGTCGTGGTTGGTGATAAGAGCCAGGAAATGAAGTCACCCAATTGTTAAATTTGCATTTCAGATACCTAATGAAACGATTTTATCAAGATTCATAAAAAAAATAAAGGGTGGTAAGTCCATAAAGGTGACTTACGTGAATGATAATAGTAATATAAAAATATGAGAACGAACTGAATCAATAATTATTCAATCTATTGAATCACAGATGAAACAACGTACCTATTACCACTTTGAATGTGACCAGTTTCGAAAAGTTGCACTTCCCTTTTCTCCCCAGACCCGAAAGAGTCATACTTAAATTCCTTCCTAGTAATCGCCTCATAATTCCATGTATGACTTTTTTTGGCGCCGGACCTGAGGAGATCAGTGATAGGATAGAAACCTGAAACACGAATCAAATGTATCAGTTTAATGAGAAACCACACAGAAAAAAAGTGTTGATGCACCAACCAAAATATTGTGGTCAATTTTTTTTTGTTGAATTGAACAAAATTCAGCGAAATCAATAAAATATATATCCATTCCAAATAAGCGGCTTATTCAGAAATACAAAATGTTTTAATTGAGATATTTTCTTATTTTAACAAAGTTTCATTTCATTCAACAACATTTATAGTTGGCTTGAAAAAGATTTTTTGATTCAACTATTATTTCATTGTTCCATCAAGCATATGCATTTTGTCTATTCCACAAAATCAGATTATTCCTAATCACATTATTCTTGACAAACATCAAACGCAGAAGAACATAATATTTTGTTATTCCAACATTCATTTCATTGTTCAATTAATCATATGGTGTTTTTCAATCCAACATCATTGAAGTGCAATCAATTCTCATTTCAATAATGCATCACACTTAATAATTTGCCTGATGTCCAATTGACAGAATACTGATTCGGAGTAAACGTAAAAGACATTGTCTTAGTTGAATGTACCTACAAATTGGCTAAAAGACGCGAGCAACTGTCAAAAAAACTGCCTGAATGACGAGTACGCGAATAACGTAAAAAATGATCTATACCAGATACTGTATCCTTGGAATATTGTAAGTTTGGAAGTATCACATTTGTCAAAATATCAAATGTGATACATTGTTGAAGTGAAGTGAAGTGAAGTCCAGGCAGCATAACCGAGTTATTGACTTTATGAATAGATCTTGGATACCAGAAATTGTTAATTTGATATATTTATTCTCTTAAAAACTGGAAATTATGTTACTTGAATGAAATTACTTTATCATTTCCGTCAACAAGATGTGTTCATTATAGAGTAGATATTGTATCAAATATATCGGAACAAAATAGTATTTGTTCAATGAACCAATATTCACTGTTGATCTGAATGAATAATGAGTTACATCACATACATTTTGAGTTGAAAACTGACAAAAAAAATATTGCGGTAACGAAATATTTGGTTGTGGATATATGAACCTGAGATTTTGTTGACTTAACGAAATTTTTGTTGATTCGTAGAAGTTTTTTCCTTCGTGCTTTGTTATCAAGTATTGAAACTTACGGTTTTGTTGTAGAAGGATTCATCAACAGATAATTTGGTCTCGAAAGTCTTGAGCTGATCTTCCGTCTCGATTGGTAGAATTGTTGTATATTGGTTGACCTCCTCTGTCGTTGATTTTAACCCATCAAGTTTCACGTCGATGAGTTCAAAAAATGTTTTGATATTTGCTAATTCACTTTTTATTGATTCTAGTGAATCAATCAGGATGGGTATTTTTTCAGCTACCCTGGAGCACTCTGTAAAGAATCATCATCATCATCATCATCATCATCATCATCATCATCATCATCATCATCATCATCATCATCATCATCATCATCATCATCATCATCATCATCATCATCATCATCATCATCATCATCATCATCATCATCATCAATATCATCATCATTATTACTATGTTATTTTCTTCCTGAAAACGAATTACCGGATGCGACTTGCCCCGCGGTCATGCTCCTGATGGCATCACCTACTGGATGAATTTGTCAAAGTTTTTTTCAGATGTTTTTGAAAACATAATTTTGTATTGAACTTTGACGCCATATGGTTACCGAGTGCGGCAGCATAATTTCCTTATTTTAAAACTTGATAAAACCCATTGTATGAATCTGAACAATTTTATTTGACTTTTATAATCTACCTAAAATTTTGATTAACAAAGTTTTGAATATCCAATCAAATAGATGACGTCTCTCATTCCATGTACATTGAGTATACCGATATCTGGCTTTTCTCATGACTTGTCGGAATAGCAGGGGTTAAGTTGGCAACTTTTTCCTTGTTGTTGGTCTATAAATCTCGTAGGGTCCTTGGACGGTTCATATAAACACGGAAATTGGAGAAAACCTCTAAAAAAACAGGAAGAAATAGCCAACTCAACGCCTGTTATTCTGGCAAGTCATGGCAAATGCCAGAAATCGGTCAACTCAGTGTATGGAGGATGGAGGACTCCATCTATCTGATTTGATCTTCAAAACTATGTGAAGCAAAACTTCAGGTTTGCGCCTACATTTTAAAAACCAAATTAAATTATTGTTCTGACTTATACGATTGGTTTTATTACGTTTAGAAAATAAGAAATTATGCTACCGTACCCTGTATATCTCGAAACGATGCGTTTCATACATATTATTATGGTTAATGGTAATAATAACTTTTGTTCCATCAAAGCAGTCATATTAGTCATGCGATTCTGTCAATTTCTAAATTATTAATCATTAAAATTCGGTCTCCCTGTATAAAGGACAATGAGATTGACGAACTCTGCATATATCTACAATCTACAACATACCATGACATTTGAATAATGAAGTTTCATTTAATATTGTGTCCTCGTCGCTCATGTTATTTTGGCATTCTCCTTCTAGATCCATGTTGATGTCGTTAGTGATGGAGTTCTCACTATTGAATAATGACTGTTCGGATGAGTCAGAACTTGTTGAGAATTTCAGGGACTCAACCCTTTCTTCTGCCTTTTTCAGCTGGTTGAAAGACCCCTCACACACACCTCTATATTCCTCATATTCAATCTCAATGCTCGGAGGAGAGCATGAGTTGATTAGTTTTATAATTTTGCTTTTTGATAATTTTGGCCACAAGTATAGTTCTTTACTGTTATTTACTCGCCATGTAGATGGCACGATCTCGCAAGTTCCTTCTTCGGATAACCATACTACAACATCCCAGCGCATCATAGTGATATCAATCTGAAAATAGAATTATGAGAATATGATCAATCCAACTTCCAATAGTATTACCACCTCCGTGAGTATATGTACTTGAAGAATCAACCGACGAAAGATGAAGTGGACATTTTAGAACTGTTGTTTGGAATAGCTATATTCTGTCGCATCAAAACGGAATATAATATAAATATAATTTCCTATATGTTTTGTATAAAGTACGTATTACCGTAATATCTATATAATTGTGATTCTGAAATCGAACACGAAAAACAAAGTTTTGTTGCACCAACCAAATTATTTTGAATCTGTTTTTGATGAATTGAACAAAATTCAGCGTTCATTTCATTTCAAATTCATTGTTCAATCAATCATATGCATTTTACACTACACTGTTTTACCACTAACCAAACCGATTTTTTAACGCCTCGACACTAACATAGTTAGCGAAACACGTGTCGAGGCGTTAAAAAATCGGTTTGGTTAGTGGTAAAACAGTGTAGTGTATTATCGTGCCAAAGGTTTCAGTCTTCGATATATATGCATTTTGTCTATTTGACGAAATCAGATTATTTTGACATAGATTCAACGAAAGGCAACATGATAAATTCTTATTTCAACGTTCAACACGCTTTCATAGATAGCAAAACTGAAAATGAGTAAAAAATAAAATAATAAAAATGTGCTGATGAATACACAGCAAATTTGTGGTGGAACTGTGACTGTGAGTTCTATCACATTTCCTGATATGTACCTACCTATCTATTTTTCTAATATTTTTAATTGATTCGTGATAATTAAATACAAAAAATGTATCATTCAAGAGTAGTCAACTGTATCTTCTATAATCTTATGTTAACAATGTTTATAAGATGAGAACTGCATAGGTAGGAGCTATTTCGATAAGAAAGGACAATTTTTACAGGAAAACCTCAGAAATAATCTGAGGTTTATATTAGATTTGAATTTTTATAATAAAAAATCATTGTCTTATTCAATACCTAATTTTTATTATAACAAGAAAGTTGTATCACAATAATAATACATCAGTTTTTAATTAGGTGATTCATTAAATAGATATGATGTTATATAATATGAAAAAATACTTTGAATAGCTTTCCCGTTCATATTCACATACAGACACAGATTTTCAAAAAAACTGCAAATGTTTTCAAATTTCAAAATTAACCTGTCCGATAATTATTCTTCTGTAGAATTTGTTGGTATTATATCGATGTCACGCATTCCATCTAGAGCACACTGTATAAATACAGCAAGAATGAATGAGTATAAACAATAACAGATCAAGTTTCTGAATGCACAAGGGTCAAAACATTTTGTTTTCCTTCCACTTGAATGAATACACATTTTCTCCAATATTCAGTCAAATGAACAGTGAATAAGTGTGTAGAAAGCTTGTTTACAGTCCATGCTCCGATCAAACTCGATTCAATTGGTGAAGAATATATATCTTTTATTTCTTGAAACACACAACCTTGAAGAAAGTATTCATTTTCGTTTTCAATGATTTTTCGCACTTTCATAATTTTTCCGCATTTCAAAAGAATATAAGAATTCTCGCCATGTGGAATGATCTCAGTATTTTTATATGCAATCGAATGTATGATAGAATTTCGACGTAGCACTTTCAATGCAATATTTTCCTCATATTTCTCATAACATGTTGATTTCTCTTTTATTCTTTTGTACAGCTGCTGTAGGGGTCTATTCGGTGACCTCAATAGCTTTTTCAATTGTCCGAGGTGATTTTCAAATGGAAAACAATTGATTTCCTCCAAATTTTCTTGCTTCCTGACCGAATTTTCAATAAGATGTAATAGTGAATGAGTGTTATACACAGGTTCGTGGTCTTCATAAATCTGCTTCGATTGCTCTATGAATTTCTTTATCAAAGTGATGGCCCGGTCACCCAGACCTTTCAGAAAATCATCACTGCAGCAAATTCTCATTGCACAATGCAGATAAAAAAAATGTTTGTATTGGTTGGAGGGAAGAAGTTTATGCAGTATAAATGGCCCCAAATAAATCAGCATTGTTCTGAGTTCAGAAGCTTTGAATCTATCGAGTTCCAATAGTGACCTCGTTTTTCTGTTGAAATCTTTAGGTAGTTTGATTGAAATCATCCTTTTTGATACCTCTTTACGGAGCGATGGAGCAATAGAGAACCCTGAAGTAGATTTCATCCAATAGTTGAGTAGTCTTCTCATTGTTCCTAAGCATGCCATATGCATGTAATCTAATGGAAATCCCTCTATTATATCGAAGTTATCTATAGAACTGAGCGGCGATATACCCTGTTGGTGTTGCTCATACTCTTGGTTTCTGAACGATTCACCATTCCTCTTCACTGAAAGTTCTTCATTGTCATAAAACAGTATCCTGAAATTTTGTCTCCTACCTTTTATGGTACAAAATTCACAACCGTCCACGGAGTTGTGTGATTTTATGCATTTCAAATAGGATCTGGCTAGTGCATCACAAATAAAACCTTTTAGTCCAATAGAAATTCGTCTTCCCTCAAAAAATATACCGTTTTGTAATAATATTTTGATTTCTTCTACGAATGATTGCAGAAATCCATCCAATTCATTTGGTTTCGAGTCACCATTATAGTAAGCAACGTCGAATACATCAAGTTTCCTACGTTTATCTATTATCATTCCACAAATTGGCCACAGTTGTGAAGAGGTGCTTTTATGTAATGGTAACCCATCTATATTGAAGATTATATTCAAATGATTATTGTGTTCATTCATGACATTGAATACACCTTTCATGAGTTCTCTCAGTAATGCCTGTTCAAGACCAAGGTATATGAACCCTCCATCGGTATTTCTTGCTGACATCATTTTCATCATAGGTACCGTTCTTGTGGTTCTCAAAAGTGTCCTGCTATCGAGGGGTAGTTTCGGGAAAAAGTCCTTCAATTCTTTCAGCAATCTATTCAATTGCTTATGCGTTACATTTTCTTCAACAGCCCACATTCTCAATCTGCATATAATATCTGAAAATATCATTATATTCGTTAAATTTATAACTTCCATTGAATAAGAGATTGATTTTATATCATCGACTGAAGGTTCTTAATCATCGTTAATAAAGTTCTCATCGTAATCATTCCATCTCTGGAACCCAAATATTTCCAGAAATTACGGAAATAATATTTCATATGAATTTGTTATACAAGTAAGTCCAGAATTGATCGGTGTGAAAGCAGCAACGCGACATCATCTAGCAACGAATGAGATCAACACGGGCAGGCCGCAGAGAGATGATATCGATAAAACTCGCTCAAATCGAATTAGAAATGAAAATATTATGAATTTCACGATCTAGTCTGCTATAATAAATAGAAAACACTTCACTCAATCAGACCAAATAATTTTCTGGATTTGTAGCATCCATTCCACCCCTCTTTCACCCTTTTATCAATATAATTCAAATTCCAACTTTGAGCTCAGGAATGAACTTTTGGAAGACTTTTTTCTTGAAACAGATGTTTAATAGCTACCTGAACACGATATAGTTATTTAACCAACTAGTGTATTAATGAGGGCGATTAATGATCGAGATATTTTAACGTGCGAGCGAAGCGAGTGCGTTAATGTTCGAGATCATTAATCGCCTTTTAATATACAAGTTGGTTACAAAATTTTTCCGTCGACAATATTTCTCATTTCTCCTGCAATGAAGAAAACTTGGTTCGCCAAATCATCATCCATTCGGAAACTGCTAAGAATCACCCAGTAGCCTTGTTACTGACATTAGACACATTTGACATTTGTCGAAATGATCAACATAGGAAATAAATTCCTTGTGTTAGAAAACAGGGATTAATATCGTGTCAGAAACTTGAAAAGGCGAACCCGTTAACGGAAAATCGTCGATGAAATTCATATTTTCGATTTAAATGCAGATTCCGTAAGTTATAGCATATACAATGAATGCACGCGGTGTATGTTTGGTTGCCTATAAAACAATCGTGTATTAATAAACAAATCGTTCATTAATAGGGGTCATTAATGAACGATTTTAAATACATTAAACTTAGTCGTTAATACGAGGTCGACGGAAAAGATACTTGTCTGATTTTGTAGCATCCATATTACCCCTCTACTACCCTCTTATCAATATAATTCAAATTCCAACTTGGAGCTCAGGAATTAATTTTTGTAAGATTTTTTTCTTGAAACAGATGTTGAATAGCTTCCTGAAAACGATAAGATAGTTGTCTGATTTTCTAGCATCCATTCCATCCCTCTTTCACCCTCTTATCAATATAATTCAAATTCCAACTTTGAGCTCAGGAATTAATTTTTGGAAGATTGGATGTATGCTACAAAATCCGACAAGTATCTGATCGTGTTCAGGAAGATATTTAACATCTGTTTCAAACCAAAAACTTCCAAAAATCAATTCCTGAGCTCAAAAGTTGGAATTTGAATTGAATTGATAAGAGGGTGAAAGAGTACAGGATGGATGCTACAAAATCAGACAAGTATCTGATCGTGCTCAGGAAGCTATTGAACATCTGTTTCAAGAAAAAAATCTTCCAAAAGTTGATTCCTGAGCTAAAAGTTGGAATTTGAATTATATTGATGAGAGTGAAAGAGGGGTAGGATGGATGCTACAAAATCAGACGACAAGTATCTGATCGTGTTCAGGAAGGTATTCAACATCTGTTTCAAGAGGAAAATCTTCCAAAAATTAATTCCTGAGCTCAAAGTTGGAATGGATGCTACAAAATCAGACAACTATCTGATCGTGTTCAGGAAGCTATTGAACATCTGTTTCATGAAAAAAATCTTCCAAAAGTTTATTTCTGAGCTCAAAGTTGGAATTTGAATTATATTGATAAGAGGGTGAAAGAGGGGTGAAATGGATGCTACAAATTGAGACAACTACCTGATCTTGTCAAGTGGAGTGTTTTCTATTCACTATAGCAGATTAAATCGTGAAATTTATAATATTTTTCATTTCTAATTCGATTTGAGCGAGTTTTATCGATATTGTCTCTCTGCGGCCTGCCCGTGTTCATCTCATTCGTTGCTGGAGGATGTCGCGTTGATCGACGATATGATCCTAAAATCGGCGTAAAATAACTACATTACATATTATTTTTGAGAAAGTGTGTTGGTAGATGTAGCTATACGAAGAAAAATCAGTTCTCCCTTCTTTCATTACCATTCGAAAATTGAATTTGTTTTTCTCAAATCAAGATAATGATGAAGGTCTGCATTGATTGCTTGCATGGTCATATACGTATAATATGATTGATTTTACTCGAAAACCGATTACGTCTCCTGAATTTCCAATGTATGCTGCGTGTTAGTAAAAAGTGTTGTTAGTTGCATAAGTCGTTCTTTTCATAAAGAATAAGTACGATGAAATAGGGTGTTTGGAAGTCATAATCTTTCTTTTGTTTGCAAAAATTCTTGAAAAGAAGAGGATGAAATCTTTTTTTGGGTGAATGAGTTGAGTATTAATTTTCTTCAAATAAAAACAATCAAGCAGAGGGCTTCATAATGTACACCAAGGATGAATTCAATTACCATTATCTTTATCCTGATTCTGTTCAGACAATTTCTTGTTATCACCACTTGTCGTCTGGAATGAATCACGAGTCTTCTCAGTTCCTTCCATAGTCGAGCTATAAGAAATATATAATGCTTGTGACATTCGATAGAATACCTATACCTACCTTGAGCCTTCTAAGAGGTATTTTATCACGGTTTGAATAATATATGTATTCTGTTTCATGTCACCCTGTATAAACTGCCCTGCAAAAACCAGCCACTTGAAAAACAATTCAATTTTGAACCCTGTGCATACCGATATGCCAAATTTGAGGGTTGTGAATTATAGTTCATCTTGCATTTCGTGACATACCTAGTTGCTCATCAGAACTACCGGTTTGACCGGAAATGACCCCCAACTTTCGATTTTCAACAGGGACACCCTCTATTTTATTCCATAATCGGTTAGGGACTATCATAACGAATTCAACGTTACCAGTTTTCATAGGGTTATTTCAAATGATTACGACGATGTTCGTATCCGAAATTTCCATATGCTCAATGAGTGTGACAGAGAAAGAAGTTTCGATATTGCGCCGTCACACTCATTGAGCATTCAGTACTGAAAATGGCTTTCGGCTACTTTTTCTGTAAATTTGATATGTTTCAGATATTGGCGTCCTTATAATACAGCCAATTTACACACTGTGTATGTGTATATCGATAAAAGTTAGGAACATCAATTTTATTTCTAAATACGGTCCTGGTCAAATATTCACAGATTCCCAAAGCTTTTTTCCATTCTAAATACGACCATGTCTTATCTAAACACTTCTCGAAAAGAAATCAATATAAACACGTTAAGAGGCCATATTCCGCAGCGCCTCCGCCAATAAAATAGGTACCGCTCCCAAGTTCCCCTATGTTTATGGATCGTCCTAGAGGCTCAATTATTTTTTTCTGGGTAGTCGAAGGTGCAATCGATGCATCTTATCGAATGGATTTTCATTTTTTTGTATAGACTAATTTATAAACACCTGTGAAGTAGCGCGTTTTTGACCGATTTCGTGATTTTTTTTCTACGTAACGGAATCAAAAATTGGAAAACTAGTCGATAAGATGCACAGATCAGATGAAGTACTATTCAAAAATAATTTTTATTCACTGAAATCTCATTTGGTTTTCTCATGGGAAATTGGGAGCGGAGGCACCGTGAACAACAAAATTTCCTGTAGGCGCGGCATTTAACGAAAATAAGCTCCTCCCATAAAGTTCAAATGAATTATTGATAGTCAATGGTCCTAAGATGAAATATGGTATTTAATTTTATCAAGAAATAGTCTGTGATCCAATTTATATTATACCTGATATTATCATAAATGTAGGTATAGGTATTATGGAATCAACAAAGCAACTGTGTCATATCTACTCAGTTCATAGATTTCCTCGAACACAGGGAAGTGCCGGAATGTTCTTAACGATATTTTTATTAGTCTATTTTCTAATAGTCCAACAAATTGATAGATATATAAGAAACATCATTCTATAATGATTACATGAATCACAGCGATTTTTACTGTGGACGAATTATTTCCAAAGTTGAGCCGACAAGTAGCACAGGTGGTCCGAAAGTCATACCGCCTTCTCTATAGAATAGGTGATACCTATAAAGGAAATGATTAATGAGACATTTTACATTTGTTATATCTATTATTTTGGGAATAAAAATCATGAAATACTGATTTACCTATTCAAAAAAATATATTCTGAGTAATAATAATTATATGGCATTGGTGGATTGATTCCTTTTGTTATAATGTGTTTTTTGCTTTGCAAAAAATCATCGCACCGCCAAACGGTAGCGGCAGGTTGACGGGTACAATAAGACGGCGATTACAAAGACGCCGACAGTCGGAAAATGAACTCGTCATTAGCAATCATTAGTCTCATAGGAGTCATAGGTCAGTTTTTCAGTGCGTCTGTCTCGAGTACTTCATTTCAGATTGATGTTTATTCGAAATACGTCTGAGGCTAGTGCATCTGTTTGATATTCGTTTATATCAGTTTTTGAGAAGTGTGCCTGTATAATGCCTGCGCATCGAAAGATCGATTCCAGTGATTATAGGAATGGTGATAAATATGGGAAGAGAACCTGGGTACCTCGATATAAAAGACGAAAGTCGACATATAACATTAGTGCAGTGATTAGAAAAATTGAATTTTGGGTAATGCTATCGATCTGAACTTATTCATCTTTATTTATTCTCTTATTCATTCATAATTTATCCATTCATTTATGCATTCATTTATTTATCTATCCCTAAAGATGACGATTTCTGGTCATCAAAAATGGAACCAGCTCTGAAAAAATTTTATTTTGATTGTATGATCACTGAACTAGTCGATAGCAGAATCAACAGAGGCATGGAAATTAGAGAGCCTTCCTATGTCGAAACTAAATAAATCAA